GCACCCTGAATTGTCGCACTTCACAATTCAGCATTTGAGAGATCGCGTGATATAGGTACAAGACGAGAGAGAGCCACAGGCAAGTTCCGTCTTCGGTCTGAAGATCTGGCCATTGAGAATGCGGCTCTGGCCGCAGTCTTTCCTCCGGATATCAACTTGCTCGATCTGAACTGGACTGTGTATGATGCGGCTCTTCGTTTGAAGCCTCAGAACCCAAGTAAAGGGTCATTTGAGTTGAAAACGCTAAGGTGCATTGCATAGCTCCGAGGTAAAATCGATGAGGCCAGGAAGCAGGCATCGCCCATTTAGTGTGTGATTGACTTCATCATCGGTGGTAAGCCTTTTACGGTGCGCATTCATAAAATATACGCGAATTTGCGCTACCACCATCACACACTGAATAAAGCAATCATTCTTTTGATTAAAGAGAGGTTTGTTGAAAGGGTGCGCCTTCTGGGGATCATGAAGCGGTTTCTGGAACAGCGGTTGCGTCGGGTGGTAGACAATTCCGTCTTCTTCCATTCCGATCTCAGTCGCTGGTTCGAGCCGCCTACGCCTGCGCCGGATAAGATGCCTTCACTTGAGCGAGTTGAAGAGTTCTGGGGACATCTGTATGGTCAAGTCTCTAATCTTATGGTGGAGACTCGAGCCCTTCGGCAATTTCGCGTGGTTTTTGAAAAAAATCGTCGGCAGCGCGTGGAATTTTCGCGAGTCACTCAGGAGGAGGTTCGATCTGCTTTACGAGGTATGAAGAACTACGCCACTCCGGATCCTGACGGTATTAACGCCTTTTGGTGGAAGAGGTTTACCTCTGTGCATGTCCATATGGCTCAGATGTTCACGGCGTTCCTCGACAGTGGTGAGTTTGTTCCTACGTGGTTGGTGGAGAGCAGGACTATGCTGATCCCGGAGAAGGGAGACTTGACTGACCTGGAGAATTATCGGCCGAGCCATGAGCTCATTTTCATGCTCCTCGAATGCCTTGCGGTAGAAGACAACATAGCGAGATGTATTAAATATCTTGCGCCTCTCTGGAGAAGGTGCTTCACTATAAAATCTGGTGTGGAGAAGCTCACTTCAGGGCTGGTGCAATTCAGGAGAGGAGTTTTCCAGGGTGATACCCTGAGTCCTCTTTTGTTCTGCATCTCACTGATGCCGCTCTCTGTTGCGCTGCGTGGTGCTGGCGGATATCAAGCTGGAAGACCTTGCGATAGGAGGCACCAGGTTAGCCATATATTTTACATGAATGATCTGAAGTTATTCGCCTCAGGAGAACGACACCTCAAGCTTCTGCTTGACGTTGTCGCAGTGTATTCACGTGCGGTTGGCATGAGATTTGGGTTGGACAAGTGCGCCGTTTTCCATCTAAGGAGGGGCAAAGTTAGTGAAGAGATGGGTGATCTTCAGCTTGTAGATGGAAGCATCATAGATCATCTTGGCGCCGAACAGGCATATCGGTATCTTGGCTTCAATCAGCGATCCATAATGGACGCTGAGACAGTCAAGGAAACTCTTCGCGGAGAATACCGGCGGCGGCTACGGAAAGTTTGGGAATCCGAGCTCTCCGGCAGGAATAAAGTCGCTGCATCGAACATGTTTGCTGTCCCGGTTCTTCTCTACTTTTTTGGTGTCCTCAAGTGGATTAGAGATGAATTGAAACAGCTGGACAGAGATACTCGCAAGCTGATGAACATCCACAGGAGCCTGCATCCACGCTCTTCTAGGGGGAGGACTTCTTAGTTTAGAAGCTCTTCATGAGCCCCTGGTCCTTGGTTTAGCTTGCGACGTTATGAGTGGCTTTGTTCCGCATTTGGAGTTTGTGCATGATCATGAACTCCGAGGGGTTCAAGCCTTACTATATAAGGCAGCAGATACCGCCACAGTTTCCCTCGGTTTCGAGTTTCGTCGTGGCCGCGATGGTCAGTTAGCTGGGAATTCTCTAGCCAGCATGACCAAATCTCGGCGTAGGGCGACCATAAAGGAGGCGGAACAGTGCCCCTTGCTCCGCCAGTATGTTGATAGGCCCATGTATGGCGTATTCTTTCGCCACCTGGAGGAGCAGCGTCTGTCCGTCCAGCTGACTTTCTCCTTCTTGAAGTCGGCTCGCTTGATGTTCGAGACGCAAGGTTTCGTTTGTGCGTGCCAGGATGGTGTAATAAATACCCTAGCCTATCGAAGTCGCGTTATAGGGCTGCAAGATCCAGACACTCAATGTCGGGCTTGCAAACAATTCCCGGAAACTCTGATGCATATTTTTATATTAGCATATCGGCTTGTCCGACATATGCTATCACGAATTATATTCATCTTCATAATGCAGCTTTGAGAGTGCTGTATCATTATTTGCGGCACTCCTATGGGATAAACAGAACACCACTGCTGACATATGCTTCAGGGGATATTCAGTCCGTTGTCGTGGATGAGAGGTCTAAGATATACTGGAACTTCTCATTTGCGACCGTCAGGCCAATCATTGCAACGAAGCCTGATGTCTTTCCCTTGGATTTTGATGACAAGATCATCTATGTCATTGAGTTCTCAGCTCCAGCTGAGAGCACTATCACGGTGAAAGAAGAGGAGAAACGGCTCAAGTACCAACCACTCCTGTATAAGCTACGCCAACTTAACCGAGGATTCTAAGTGAAGTTAATTGTCCTCATCATAGGTCTTTTAGGAGGCATGAAGTAGTCTTTCGTATCAACGCTCGATGTCGTCCCGGCCTGTAGGCTTAATGCCTATATATTGGCCGGTCAGATGCAGGAAGCTATCATCCTTGCGTCCCTCCGTCTACTTAGGCAGCACCATTCCGGACTGCAGTAGAGCTCACCCTCTGGTTCGAGGGAGCAATGTTGTAGAGCGATTAGGCAATGTTTGTATGTTTTAGTTTGCTGAGTGGTCTTCGAGGTCAAGTCGGAGCCCTCGAGGATCACGCAGCGATGTCTGGACAGAGTTTAAAAAAAAAAAAATAATAATAATAATAACTGAAGATCGGTCGAAACCTCATTTCCAATAGAGAAATCTTGAACAGAAAGCAATTTAACCTACTCACAAAAACAAACTTCTTGAACCGACAGATCGTCCCATAATTATCGCAATGACTAATCATCACGCTCGAACCAACTTCTATCCGCCATTAGCAGGCCCAAAATGTAGCCTCGTGATGTTCGCATTCCATCGACAAAATCTCTCCGAATAAATCCGCATCGCATCGACATAAAAATTAAGTTCGCGAGACAATTTTGTCTCTTATCCCCCCCAAAAATCTGAGTCTCCAGTTAACCTTGCATATTCTACTCGTGAACACTGATTTTTATCCTCGCATAATGAATCCATTCTACAAAATTTCGGAAAATGCCGCATGAAGAATCTAAAACTCGCTAATAATGACACCGTGAGGAGATATAAGGATCTCTTTACTTATCAGAGGTGGTTCAAGGTAAAACCATCCGCGAGTCATCTGAGGATTTTTAAGAGTATGGTTTACGCTCAAATATTCAAAGATTTGAAGACGAAATGAGCGGAGAATTTATCGAAATATCTAATGGAGTGATACGAGGAAAAGAGCTTATAAACTCTATGCTCCAAATGGTCGAAAGTGTATTGCTCTACGAGACGTAGAGCCTTTACTGAGACTAGTCCAGTTGACATCTCAGTGATCATCAGTAAGTTGGATGCAAATTCAGTCTGTTGATGATGACATGTTCAGTGGCAGAATTAATGAAGAAGAAGACGTTGATCATCAGAAGCTAGTTAAGAATGCAACGCCTACTGTCAGGAAACAAAATCCACGATTATCTATGCTTCGTGTCTTATTAGCTCAGGAAGAAGAGTTTTCGAGCTGATTCAGAAAAAGGAAATTCGTTTGCAGAGGGTTAATTTTCTATGTTGGAGTCATTGGCTCTCCAAGAGACGCTTCAGTATTCCGATGCTAATAGATGGATGGGAGCCGTCGATGATAAGCTTTTTTTGTTGAGGAGAATAAGATTTTGAGAATTGCTACCGCATCCACTTGCTAAGAATGTGTTTGGTAATAAATGGGCTTTTCGAAGGAAGTGCAGATCTGATGAATCGATTGATCAGTACGAGGCTCGTCTGGTAGGCGAAGGATTTTCTCAGAAATATCAAATTGATGATTCAAAACTGCACAAGTGGTGGAAGCAGCTACTGTGCGTTGAAACAATGTGATGTTAAGACCGCCTTCCTGTATGGTAATTTAGATGAAGCGTTTTTTATGGAGCAGCCACAGTGTTTCGAGAAGAATAATCATGTCTGTTTGCTGCGTAAAAGTTTGCATGACTGAAGCAAGTACCTAAGCAGTGCAGTACAAAAATCGTCAAGGTTTTGTGTAATTTTGGATTGAAAATATCCCAAGAGGACGAAAGCTGATGTGCTTACAATCACGGTTAGACCAAGCTTAATTTAATGCTCTATATTGATGACGGTTCAATTTGTTTTAACAATGAAAATCTTATGGATGATTTATTGAATGTTTTGAAGAAAAATTTTAAAATCACAAACGTTCCAGCTGAGTATTCCGTGTGAATACAAATTGAAATGGATGACCAGAATGGATTGTTAAAATTGCATCAGAGTGCCTACGCGAGAAACATTTCAGAGAGATTTAACTATCCCAATTGTTCTCCATACTTAGTTACATCCGATTCAGTAATCAAATTAACCGAAGATGACGGTCAAGGTGAAATTTTTCTATACGTAGAAGCCATCAATTCATTTGACATATCTTACTTGGCTTTTTTTTCTCATTTCTTGATATATTTAAAAAATGTCAGGTTTCCAGTAAGAACCATACAAATCTTTTTCTCGGCACAATATTGACACAAAAACATTTGTTTTTGTTTTTGAAGGAGTCTACTAATGGAAAAAGTAATATAATTCATCAAAAGGCAAGGAATATATTATACATTAACAAGTAAAAAATAATAATAAAATAAGAGTAGTTATATAGCACCATAGGTTCTTCGAAGAAAACGATCAATAAACACCCTTCGCATAAATTATTTAATTGAAACTTTTATAATAGCGTAACTCAAAATTTACATGTTATAATTGTTTTGGGGATTATTCTTATATGCATATATGTAAGGCTGATAATATCTATTTCTAGCGTATTTTTGACGGGCCTCTTGACGATATCTGAATAACGGTCTGAAAACAATGTCCTCAGCGACATCCATGTCCTCAAAAGAACGTCGCATCTGTAAATTTCCATAGTATAAACCACACTAATATATTGCAATGATTAAAACAAAATATTCACGTCTCTATTATATAGTGCGGTAATAATTACATTGTCGTTCTTCCACATTTTTTGCCATCAATTTACCTCCGGCTTTGGCTCGTCTGGTAATTCTGCCATTGTTTCTACCGCCACTGGTAGGAAATTTGCCACCAGTGGACTGGCTTGCGTTGTGTGACTGTCAATTTTTGGATCCACAACGGGTACGAGAGGAACCAAGAGGCCTTGACCAACGTCAAGGACGCCTGTGACATTGGGTTTTAGAACAATATTTGGTGTAGTCGGGAGAATGGATGTTATTTCTTCATTCAACTCTCGGGCTGAGCGTGATGAAACCTGGAGAAATATTGTTCCGTTGGCTCGTCTTTTCAACTAGGCGATATTTCAACTACATTTCAACTGAAATTTTCAACTACGACATTTTAACTGCGATATTTCAACTAGTGTCATTTGAACTGATCAATTTTAACCACGACGTTTCACGTATGACATTTGAACTGAAATATTCAACTAGAATATATCAACTAGTTATTGTGAAATTACTATATTTTTGGGAATTAGCTGAAATTGTTTGCTTTTCATTTTTTTGACTCTTAGCTTTTCAACAGACAACAAGATGCTACTCAGTTTAATCACTGAACTAATAGATTAATGATTGATATTATACAAAGATTCAATTTTTTTTATATTAATAATTGCAAGAGATCAATAATTCAGTATTAATAGTTGTTTTTTCAAAAGAATACTCCATGCTCTTTTTTCAAAGAATTATTTTCCATCTTATATTGAGATGCATTGAGTGATTCCATGCAGATAGTTTTCAATATCTTCCAATGCATTTTTACAATTAACGATTCTCTTGATTCTCGCGTCATTATCTCTGTAAGCCTTTCGTTTTTTTGGAGGGAGCTGGCCACCATTTGTCTGCGTCAATCTGAGTTCCATTGTAGCCTGTTCATCCTTAAGGGCTTCAATGAATCGACCCATTGCAACGTGGGATACTTGGAGATGTGTGTTGAAGCCGTTATGTCAACTTTTCCGTGCATTTGTCGTGCGTGATTCATCATTTTTCACCGCTTGATAACAATTCCACATCAATTTCGCAATGGGCGGGGGGGGGGATTCGGTATCGACGTATTTTGAGTCCGATCCATGTTTCCATGGCCATCCATGACATGCAGTTAAATATGAGCAGTTGAAATGTCGGTTGAAATTGCTTGCTTAGCAATGTGATAAGTTGAAAAAATATTAGTTAAACAGTCGGTAGTTGAAATGTCGTAGTTGAAATATCGCCGAGTTGAAAAGGCATGGATTCATTGATACTCCTTTATCACACCAAGGTCATTATTATCATTGAGGATATGCAAGTAGTACAAGAAATTTTTTATGGAGGAAATGCTTTCCGGAGGTTACAGACTAGACCAAGAGTAATTTTTAGGCCCAATTTCAACTTTAATTTCAGAATATTTTTCCAAGTGAACGACTATTGAAAAATGGAATTTTACGCATTGCGTCCATAAAAGCTGTATATTCATATTTGCGTCCAATAATACGTAGTGTTGAAGCATTTTCTTGTATACATAACTGTATACGAGAATTTGTTGTTATACAGTCTATTTTTTTTGGACATTGATAAACGTAAGAATTGCGAACAGATAATTGCAATCAACAGAATTGGGGAGCATCCGCATGTTCTTAATATCTGGCAATGGTCCCTTCAGGTTACTACTCGAACCGAATTGATGACGTTATAAGGAACACATGTTCCGTGATTCCATATGATGATCAAAGGTTAGACCAATGGGAGTCAACTGTAAAATGGAATAAAATATAGTCCATAATATTTTGTAAAGAAATCTCCTAAAAAAAATTTAGTCAACTGTAACGTACGGCGAAACACACATTTAATTTAATCTTTTATTTCAATGTAGAAATAACTAGAAACTATCAGATGTTTCCTTTCTTTTAAATGTTTTTCTCACGGACTCAGATAATTATTTTCCCATGGTTGCAGAGTGCAGCTGCACAAAGTAAAGTATCTCTAGTACAAAATTTTTAAGTAAATTTCCGGAAAAATTCATAAAACAAAAAATAAAGTTCAAGTGATAAGCCGCTAAACACTCTTCAAGTGTTTGTCTCTGGCAATATTTTGTATATTTTATGACTTGCAGGTGACTGCACGTGGCCGACTAAGGGTCGAAAGTTTGTACGGAACCACTGAAAAACCATAAAATTTTCCGTTGAACATGAGACTTTCCTTACACGCCTACGCCCTATACATCCTTGGCGACTAAGGGAGATTAACAGGAAATTGCAACGGTCAAGCGACACTTGTGTGTACAATCATCTGGAATTTAAACTGATAAATAAATCTGAAATAATATTTTCGACTTTGAACGTTTCTTCTCAAACAAGATTTTCAATTAAAATTTACAATTAAACAAATTGAGAATTATTGTAAAATTCCGATCCCTTTCAAGCAAGGAAAGTCGTTGGGGACCACGTGAAAAATGTGTCCCAACTCTTCCTGCCCGAATGGGAAATAAATAACAACTTTACCAAATGTCGAAACCTCTTAGTCAGCAATTCCCCGCAGAATATTGGTATCCTCTATTAATGGGAATCCTTTATGTATTTTTACGATTTCTATCAGTAAATCAGCCGCTCCTGAATCTATCAGGAAAGCTGTCCGCTTTGGTTCCCGCACTTATTCCCTAAAGAAAAAAACTTCCGGAAAAAATTTCTCGGAATTATTTTTTTCCGGAAAAAATTACTTCGGAAATTTTTTTTCCTGGAAAAAATTACTTGGGAATTTGTTGTTTTGGAAAAAATTACTTGGGAAAATTTTTTTCCCGGAATTTAATTTTTTTTTTACTTCCTTGGAAAAAATGTCAGAAAAAAAATAGCATCCATTTTTTATATCAAAAATGTACAGAAAATAATTTTGACAGAAGTTCAGGGAAATTTAAGACTTAATGGGCATATTTTGGCTTTAGATTCTAGCTGGAAATGTATTGAATGGTGCGATAGTAAAATTGACGTTGGAAGGGATAGCGACAATCGACTGGAGATTAATTTCCCCCACTTATGACACTGTTTCGTGTAGTGCTTATATTGTGCCGTGGCTAATACCCAAACATATATGTATCCTTGGGAATTTCATGAGCTCAAAATTATTTCCATTAACACAAGTTATTTTTTCTCAAAAAAATTAATACCGGCAAATTATTTCCAAAAAAAAATTTGCCAAATAATTTTTTCCGGGAAAATTTTTTTCTCAAGTAGTTTTTTCCGGAAAAATTTTTTTCATAAGTAATTTTGAAAAAAAAGTATTTTTCCGAGAGATTTTTTCCAAAAGATTTTTTCCAAAGAAAAAAAGTGCGGACACCGTCCGCTTTCTAAGATTTCCGGCCTCCAAGACAATATGATTTTTAAATTTATTTTATTGTACTGGCCTTATTATTCGCCTTGCATTCTGCGTGCGCTCTAATTGTCTCAGAATGTCGCTCGCATCACGTTCCATCTCGTACGTCATTACCTGATGTACCTCTCTGGAATTGCGATTCAGTGACTTTGACCTGCTTAATTTTTCGTTTCAATTTTTTTTCTTACGTTTGGTGTTAACGTTGCTCGTAATTTCGGCCTTATTTACATTTAGAATGGCCTCAATTTCTGCTAAGTCAGAAATTCCAAGTCGTTTCTTAAGTTTGCGGCAAACCTTCAAACAAATATTGAATTTCAGTTGACCTTGCTGTTGGTCCCTCTGCGTTGCTCTCGCCCGATTTTCTAGGCGCATCTTTTTTTTGGAAAAATCTGGAACGTTGGCTCCTATTGCGACATTGTCCTCAATCTTCCCCTACGTTATTGAGCCTTTGTTGTTTAAAATTCCTCCATTTTCATGACACGTATTGCCCCGTGTCCCACTTGGGATTTTTCTCTGAACTCAGCAACATTGTCTACTCAAGTTCTGCTGCTGCTTCCCAACACTTGTGAAATGTCTGAAATTTTACTATTTTCACCAAGCGCTGAATCGGCTGTATCAACCCCAATTCGAAACGAATTTTGTCTAATTCCATTGCTAATCTCTCGACTCGAACCGCAAATACTCTAACGCCTTCATCTGTGCCCTGTCGAAGGCTGCAAAATTCCAGATGTAATTCTTTCTGAACTTACTTAATTTATTGACCCTATTCTGGGGCATAACAAAAGATTAAGTTGTACACATGCAATTAAGTTACATGCAGATATGAGCGGATTGATTAAATATCGCAAATGGGTATCAACAGACAGAATTTCGCTCAAAAGGAGAGTACGGCCCTGCATATTTCGGGTCGGGGACAATCGAGTCGGGATAGATTCGGCTTAATAATTCCCCTTCCGAATTCGAGGAGGCCGTCGCCCATATACACCGCAAATTAAAAATGCCATGTCGATAAGTTCCCGATATGTGAAGAAGCCGCGATAATGTTCAATCATATATTATATCATTATCGAATACTAGTTCGGAGATTTGAGAAGGGACTAACTGAATCTTTTCACATACTGCCATTTTTCTGGAAACAAAGTTGTTTTTAAAAACATATGGTTATATATTATGTGTGACAAATTATCTATTGGAGCGATCTATACACATGAGGGAATATAACGAAATGGTATTCGTTCGATACTCCATAATTGAGTTGAGTTAGTAATATTTCTCTTCATACAATGAATTGTCGAAGGAGGATGAGTCCAACACTCAAAAATCTTCAATAATTTATTGCTTTTATTCATAAATTGAGTGACGGGGTTATGATTAGAAATTTATTTTCACGTGAAGACTAGTTATTCCCGATAATTAACTACACTGAAACCTATTTTCCACTGAATGCGAGGGTGAGCGAGTTCTTGTACATGCGTATATGTTATCTGAAAATTTATGAATTGAGTACTTGAAGATTTGAGAGAATTCAAATATAGTAGAATATATAATCATACAATATATGGGAATGGCCACGTTTTGAATGGATCGAGGTATCCAATTTACACATAAACAGTGGTCCCATTTAGGATGTTAACGATCAACTCAATGTTATAAATAACTTCGAGGCCACTCAAAATATTCACCAATTGTGATTCCGGAAGAGACCTCATGTACACTTATTTTGAATATACTGATATTTCTACCATCCTTCATTGATTATTGACGACGTCAATATGTGGCTTTTAAATGTCATGGCTGACAGCTTATTGAATCGATTTTCTCAATGAGTTAAGAGAGGAAATAACAACTGTTCATTTACGCAAAAAATTGGGAGGATGAACATTGATCTAGCCTAATTCGATTTTACCGACTG